TGATGGAAAGGGAGTGGGGGCTAGTGGTTAGAGCAGGGGGCTTAGGAGCCAGGTCTCCTGGGTTCTCACCCTGGTGATGGAAAGGGAGTGGGGGCTAGTGGTTAGAGCAGGGGGCTTAGGAGCCAGGTCTCCTGGGTTCTCACCCTGGTGATGGAAAGGGAGTGGGGGCTAGTGGTTAGAGCAGGGGGCTTAGGAGCCAGGTCTCCTGGGTTCTCACCCTGGTGATGGAAAGGGAGTGGGGGCTAGTGGTTAGAGCAGGGGGCTTAGGAGCCAGGTCTCCTGGGTTCTCACCCTGGTGATGGAAAGGGAGTGGGGGCTAGTGGTTAGAGCAGGGGGCTTAGGAGCCAGGTCTCCTGGGTTCTCACCCTGGTGATGGAAAGGGAGTGGGGGCTAGTGGTTAGAGCAGGGGGCTTAGGAGCCAGGTCTCCTGGGTTCTCACCCTGGTGATGGAAAGGGAGTGGGGGCTAGTGGTTAGAGCAGGGGGCTTAGGAGCCAGGTCTCCTGGGTTCTCACCCTGGTGATGGAAAGGGAGTGGGGGCTAGTGGTTAGAGCAGGGGGCTTAGGAGCCAGGTCTCCTGGGTTCTCACCCTGGTGATGGAAAGGGAGTGGGGGCTAGTGGTTAGAGCAGGGGGCTTAGGAGCCAGGTCTCCTGGGTTCTCACCCTGGTGATGGAAAGGGAGTGGGGGCTAGTGGTTAGAGCAGGGGGCTTAGGAGCCAGGTCTCCTGGGTTCTCACCCTGGTGATGGAAAGGGAGTGGGGGCTAGTGGTTAGAGCTGTATAAGAGCTGGGAGCCCGGACTCCTGGGCGCTCTCTCCCTGGCTGCAAGAGGGGAGTGCCCACTAGTGGTTAGAGCGAGGGGGTGAGAGCCGGGGCTCCTGGGTTCTCTGCCCTGCTCAGGGATAAGGATCATGGGTTCCCTGCCTGGCCCCTGACTCTAGGATAGGAAAAGGGGGGACACACCAGGTGTAGGGACCCCGGTTCTGGGTTTCAAAGGGGAGGCCGATTCCTTCCAGTGACCCAGGCGCTGCCTCATCCCTGGGCCCCTGCTGCCTCCGCGTGGCCCTTTGCCCCATCGCACCCGCCCCAAGTCCCGGCCTCTCCCCACAGCCCTGACGGCCCCCTCCCCACAGCCCCGGGCTCTGCTATTCATGGCTTTTGCTTCCCCTTTCGCTGCCCACAAACCCCTGGGGCCTGGGAGTCTGGACTCCCGGGTTCCCTGCACAGCTCGGGGCGGGGAGCGGGGCCTAGCGGTTAGAGCCCTGGTTCCCTCGGTGTCCATGGGGGACAGGTGCTGACGGCGGGGGGCGGGGGCCGGCGGGTGGGGGCGCGGGGCCCCTCGGGGTCCGTGGGGGGAGGGGCGGACGGGCCGG